CTGTTTATAAAATTCCTTAAAGAACATCCTGGAATAAAGAAAAAATCTATATGAATAATCATCAAGAAGGGGGGAACACAACAAACAAAAAAGATCTGAAAGGTTTCAGATTTTATATTGCATCCAAAGAGGCATTTTTTCAACGTTTCGTATGTTACCTTTATTTGTTAAATATCATGTTCCTCCCACTTAAATCTATAAAATTCAATTCAACAGCAATATGGCAAGATAATTTAAAAAATGCATATCTTTCAGAATTTCCCGATACACATTTCTCGCGCCCTGGAGAGGTTTTTTTGTTTTGTTTGTTTTTGCTTTTCTTTTGTTTTGTTTTGACAAGTGTTGCCTTTGTTCGCTATGAAATCGTTAAGTTTCTTAATCAAAAACTCATAAATACTTTACAACATTATGAGATAGATCTAATAAAAGAAAGTCTAAATTCCAAATTTGAGCTTCCAGATGTTCGGGTCACAGGAGACGTACGTTATTCAAAATTGGATGGGCTCTAGGTGCTGTTGTTTTATCACAGCGCGAGAAACATAAAAACATTTAAGCAAGATTCTTCATTATTTAATTTCCTTTAACTATAATACAAAGCTCTAATATTTGGTGGCAACAATTTAAAAAGTGATTCAGCTGTTTATATGTTTCAATACAAAACGAAAACAATAGTCCTTCAGGGACAAAGCCCCTTTGGATTAAATGCCAAACTTAACAGATAATAAATCCACAAATAAAAATGAAACTTCCAGGTCTCTTTCCCTATACTGTGGTGGGTTTTTTTAATTTGACTCTATTGTTTTCAGCATTTTCTAGATTATTTTTGTTTTATTTTCTAATATTTAAAATTTATTTCACTTAAAAATAGATTTTTAAAATTTATTTCCAGCTTTCAAGGATCAATTATCTCCATAATCATGAGCAATTTAATACACAAATTATCAACTTATATCACAGCCTTCACAAATGCTGTTGAAATTAATTAAATTAATTACAATTTGGTTGCAAGATGAGACTAAAGGTTGTTTTGCAAACAAAACTGAAATTTATATAGAGAATTTGCAACTATTGATGAAATTAATTACATTCCTTTTACCAAAAAATTACTTATAGAACATTTTAAATGCATATAAGGAAGCAATTTAATATACATTAGTTATCAACTTACATCAGAGCCTTCACAAATAGATGGTATTTCATTGCAAAATGAGGCTAAAGGCTGTTCTTGCAAACAAACCTGAAATGTACACAAAGAATTTGTAAATGCTGATGAAATTAATTACATTCCTTTTACCCCCCCCCAAAAAAAGTTTATAGAAATGTTTTGTATAAGCAAGCAATTTAATAATAATTATCTACTTACATAAGTCCTTCACAAATAGATGGCATTTTATCACAAGATGAAGTTGAAGCTTGTTCTTGCAAACAAACCTGAAATATATATATAAGAATTTAGAAATACAGATAATATAAACTACATTCATTTTAGAAATAATTATTTTACATAACATTTTATAATTCATAAAAAGATAATAAATTGTTAACACTCAAAATTCAAAATAATTCCATACACAACAGCCAGATATAGTACAGCTGTTAGGAACCATAAGACAAACAATTTCATATTTCAGAAATCGTATAAAATTCATCAATATATGTAAAACATATGACATTTAATAGCTGCTCAAATGAAAACATAGCATAGATTCTTTACTAGCAGCTGTTATTTAATCAGATGGTAATGCTAAATGTTGTTGCAAACACACCTGATATGTACTGTAATGTACACCTTTGCAACCACTGGTGAAATGAAACAAAGTGCATGATTATGAAGATGGAAACCATTTAAAAAAAACATAGTACAGTTTAGGAATAGATGTTAAAAAAACTATTAAAATTTTTTAGAAGTGCAAAATGGCAATTTACATCAAATACTTCGGCAGCAAAAATTTATTTCTTCAAAATATGAAGCTGAAGGTTGTGGCAAATGAATCTAAAGAAATTATAATATATGAAATATGTGGAAGTGAAAGAAATTAATAAACTCTGATCGGATAAAATAATACAAATAATCATTACCATTTTAAAAGTAACTTTCAACTTAAAAAAGCATAAATACATTGGACTGTTCATAGCATTCATACTTCTTAAACATAAGTAAATATTACGTTAACATATTTTTAAAATTTTAGAAACAGTGTTAATACTTTTTAGAAAAATTTATAATACTAAATATTTAATAACTGTTCAAATGAAGACTTACAACAGATGGTTCAGCAACAGAAATCTTCAGTTGATAAAGGTAAACTGTGCAGCAAGCCACCCTGAAGATGCAAAAATTATGAAACACACTAAAGTAGGATACCTGAAAATGCTGATAATAAAATATACTTAATGTAATTTTAATAATAAATAATATAAATAATCCTAATAAGTTTTGTAAATCTTTAAACAAAAAATAACATTCAGACAAGACATATAAGACATTAAAATATACATTTAAATCAATGTATTATAACTATATTATTGTATTACTCAAGATTAAAGTTATTAATTTCATTATTATTTCTTTTACTTATGCATATTTCTCTTTATTTATCTGGAATTTAAAATTAAGCAAAAAAGCAACTTTAGTTTAATACAAATTTTGATTTAAACTCTTTTGACTTTGAAGGCAATCAGATACAGGTTTCTTTCTTTTAGGAGCAAATTTGAAGAAACCAGACCCATGTATGACTGTCCTTGAAAAACTACAAAACCTTTATCCAAAAACTACATCAAATTGAGGTTATATGCCTAATTTTCAATATATGATTATAATAACAAAGTACATACTTAATTATATATATAACAACAGCAAAATTTTAATTTTTTAATCTAATCTTAGGGACTGTAATTACAGCTTTATCACATAATGCCTTAATTTCAATATATTGATTCTTTTATAAAGCAATTTAGTCCATTTGTAATAAAAACATATTTTTTATGAAAACCATAAAAATAAAAAACACATACATTACAAAAATTGGATGTAACTGAACGGTGCTTTGGTAAACCAATGCCTTTTAGACGCTGTGGAGTCAACAGTTGTGGGGGATTAGGCACATTGAAAAGAGTTGGCACAGCATTTGGGCTTGATTTTTTTACGCCCATCTTGCCTAGAGCATTCAAATTGATTTTCTTTCAATATGTACCTGCATATTTAACAAAGCATGCATAAATTTAACATTAAAATCAAAAGCACTAGTATTTAATTACAGTTACATATTTATATTAATTTAAGAATGTAATTTTCTGATAATTTTTTTTTTTTTATGAAAATAGAAAAAATTTTTAAAAAGTAATTATGTTTGTAAAACTACTTAAAACATATTTCCTGCTCACACACTAAAAATAAATTTAAAGGACCTATAGTTAAAAATACATTAAGATTTACTACTACAATAAAGGATAATAATGGGATCAAAACGATTCATCGAATATTTAAATTAATATTTAACTTCTTAAAAATGTCTAAAAATACAGAATATATTTATCTTACTATAAAGAAAAAACAAAATCATTTATTATTTGGATCATACCATCCAGTTTTTAACATTGGCGCCAAATATCCGATTTGGCGACAATACATCAGAATCAAAACATAGAATGCTACTTTAAATCACCAATCGTACAGTAAAATTAAGAAAAGAAAAAGGCACATCACATTTCTAACTGAGCACAAAGTTTACATGAAATGTATGATACAAATTTTACAAACGGTATAAACTTTTCACGATAAACAAAGAGAAACAACGATATTTTACTGCACAAACACATACACATTCCGCAGTTGATTTTGTACTTATAAAATCAGTTGATCGTCAATAAGTGACAGTTAAATGAAATACATATTTAAAGTAAAGTACCAAGAAGAGTAATTTTTCTAAACATCTATAGAAAAATACGAAGCTGAACTTACCTCACAAAGTACGCTCCTGGGCCCGGGATCCATGATCTCGACGAGAATTAACTATCCATTTTCTTCGTCTTTCTTCATTTCTAGGGAAACGAAACATCCTAAAGTTATTTTTAGATTGATTCGAACAATTTGGTGCAGCACAACCACCCATTTTTCTGAAAATTAGGTCGGAATCGATCCACAAATATGTCAAGAAATCAGTGCTAATCCAATAGCGAATACCAACAAGTTAGATTCAAAATGGATGATGATTCAGCTCCCCTTTATAGTAGCCTTAGCCTGTAGATATCTAGTTGGCCTTGTGTGAATAGCATCGGCCGTATTATGTTCAGGGAGTATAAATGAGGTATTCTGAATTTTCATCGTATTTTGAATTATTGGAGTTCTAATTGCCTTATTGACTGTTGTTTTTTATAGATGGCTGCTTCTCATTAATCGTTGTTCCGTCATCTTCGCAAAAAATTATGTCTGGCAAGATAGTCTTTTTTTTTTTTTTTTTTTTTCCAAAATTTAGAGCGAAAGGGTAAGAAAGCTGTTATTAATTGACTGCTATGAATGAATGTTTAATTGATCCTGGTATGAATGTTCAGTTTGTATGAAAGGTATGAGTTTGATCAAGCCTAAGGATCATCGCCGGTGCCAGGATCAGGAAGATAAAGATCCGTTCCGGGATTATATTAATTGCATAAAGGAATTGTATGTGCTACACTCATCCGATACTGACGACGAGATGTATCGAAACAAACTTTTGTTATTTTTTCAACTTATGTTTCACGCATTGTTTTTGTCTACAGCCATCTTGGAAACATTACTTCTTGGCGTAAAAAAGAATCACCAAAAATATCACGGAGCACCCGATACTTTTACCTATTACTATAATATTTCTGCGAAATGGCAAGGAACGAGTATTTTATAATCCTGAATGCTCATTCAAACGACACTCTAAATTACTAATTTAATTTTGGTCTTCTGTGTTTCTTTCTAATTCAATTCCGCACTATTAGCTAATTTTCTCCTTTGGGCCAAAAGACCTATAAAGCAGTGCTGCAGTAAATTGTGCGGCGCGACGTATTTTATTTTGATTTTTGAATCCTCCATCTAATGAAAGCGTTTTTGATTTTAAATTCTGAGGAAGAGTTTTGCGTATTGGTGTGAAAATGCAGTGTATTAAAGTGTGTCTCAGTATCGATATGATTTCGAATTATCATAATTCTCTGCGGTAGTAAGCCCAATAATATGCCAATTTCATATCGATCGAATGGAAGAGTTTTAGAATCTCACCAAAATCAAACAACGTATGCGAAATGTGTAAATTTAACGGAATACCCTCTAACTAAAAGAATGCATCTGATGTAATTAAAAGAAGTGTCACATGAACATTTAAAAAGACTTTAATTTCTTTTCATTGCTTCCATTTTACTTTTTTCGTACTTTAATGTTCGTAATAATATTTTGTGATCAAAAAAGGACAAAAACAAGAAAAGTTTTATTATATTTTTATTTATTTAGTTATTATAATTGTATTTAGTAGTAAAGATTTGGTATTTTGAATAGTCCAAAAGCAGCTGTTATTATTATTTCATGTGAAAAGTAAAACATAATAATAATAATATTGAAATAAAATAATTTTTTGTTTTTTTAATATTTTTTAACTTAAAAAAAGTTTTGTAATAAACAATTTTTAAAGTCTAAAGTTTTCTAAATCCATGATCCATGATTTTTATCATCTGATTAACAAATTTTAAATTAATTAACATCTGATTAACAAATCTTATAAATTTGTGCTGTCAGATATTACTATGACACCATTTTGACGAAATGTTATATTTAAATAATGGACTAATTTATATGTTATTTAATCTGCTTATTTCACCTTAGATGCTACAACCTAGAAGCTAAGGATGCTATGGATTTCAATTGTATATGACATTTTGTAGCATTTTACTCCTTTTCCCTCACCTCCTATCAACTCAGTTTATAGAAAATCATCCTCTTTGTCGGGCTACCTCTAATTTGGTAACTATGATTTTTATAATATTGGGTTGTTTATGTATTAGTTAGTTATGTATTAGTCTTATAGATTTGTAGTATGTACAGTATTTAGTCTTGCCAATGTTGTTGATATGCATAATTGAATTGGCTTCGAGTCTTTGCACTTGTTTACCATAATAAATCTGTTCTCAACATCAACATCTGTGTCATTTGCATCAATACTAATTATCACAATGTATTTAAACTGAATAATCTTATCAAAGGCATAGCCACATATTTTTAATTGTTTGATATCAGTGCTTCGAGTATAGACTTTAAGGTACCCCTTGTATTATGGCGAAGTTTTCGTTTGATTTATCGCCAAGTTGTTATTTCATTTATGGTAGCCTGAGTAGTTTAATGTTATGGAAACCCTATTGTGACATAATCGGGTGCATGATTCTGGGAAATTTGAATCATGGGATGTTTTGTAAGCGTTTTTTTTTTTGTGTGTGTTGGTTTGATTCTTTAGACAGTAGAATGGCCGAATGTAGTAAGATTAATTTGAAGTTTCTGTACGATTTGAAGCGAAAGGGGAAAAAAGCTTTAATTGACTGGTGTGTAAATGAAGGTTTACTTAGTAGCCATTATAAGTGTCCTGTATGTAGGAAGAATATGCATCTAGTTGAACGTAAAAACCGTTTAGATGGGTTTGTAGGAAGAAAATTTCAGATTGTAAAATTTTTAAAAAAAAATCAGAGAATTGCAAACTCAGCATTGCAAAAACCTTGGGAATACTGGCTATCTACCAAATGCATCTTCTTATTGTTCTCTTTAGAGATTTAGCAGTAAAATTATCTATTCATGTAGAAATTTTACCGCAGTTTTTCCCATTGATGACAAATTCCACAAGTGCATATTGTTATGAAATGTCAAGGCGCAGTGAGATGGCTTCCCCTCAAAGCAGTTTTAGGGTTGTCATAAAATGACAAGGGAAGGCAGGGTTGCCACATTTGGCGAGAAATCACCCTGTCACTGTGCTTATGTGTCGTTGAGTAACACAGTAAATAAGCTGTGCTCATGTGTCGTCGAGTGCATCGCGATTTGTAGCGTGGAGAATCTTGAGAGTGTGTGAAGTTCCGAGAACGACCGAGCAGAATCGGGAGCTTTGCGGTGAAGCTGTCTCCACCATTATTGCCTGACAGTGTGAAGGCTGTGTCATTGATTGTTCTAGCGTGTTTAGAGTAGATCTTCGACGACTGTAAAAAGTGTTATTGGAGCTGTCCTGATTAATATTGGCTAAATAAAGTTGTTTCGATACTTCATCAAGTGTCATCGTTATTCACTCCAAATCTACGAACCCTGTATGAACGTGAAGGAAGAAAATAACGTAACAACAGGTGTCAGCAGAAAAAGAAAAATGCAACAATATTATAAATTAAGGCAAAAAATATTCTGATTTGTATACAAAAACCATTGGAACTTGGTATACAACAGAAACAACACATACGAAAATGGCGATGTTGTTTGACTAAAAGATTGCTATGAACATGTTTGCCTAAAGAATGGTTATATGTATGGTTAGGCACATTCTGAAGATTTGATGACCCCTACTAAGATATTTATGATAACACGTTAAGTACCCGATATTCATCTTTGAAGAAATGGGGTCCAGTGACTCGATAACTTGAAATCACCACCCACATTTACTTTTTCCAAATAGTGTGGTCTTTTGTAGGCTCATTTGTGCCTCTCCCAAACATATAAAAAAATACGTGTTTTTTCTTTTTGTTTTTGTTTATATGACCACTGAGATCTTATCACTCATAAGAAAGCCACCAAATATCCATGTCATGTAGATTAAGAATTTAACATTAAGCATGCAAAAAGCTGTCAACCACTCAAGAAAATAATGAATAAATAAGTTATTCATATCATTTAATGGTTTTGGTTACTCCCCCCCTCCACCCGCCATATTGATCCAAGTGTGAGATAATCAATATGAGTTTTATTTTTCAGTTTTTCATAAAAGTTTAAAGAATTTCTCTTTTAATAAAAATTTAAACTTCTGTCATGAAAAAACTTCAAAGGAAAAGTTATGCCTTTGCAGTTTGCAATTTTTCTTTTATGAGCATGTTATAGATACCTTGTATTTTTTTCTTTTTTAATATTTAACATTCTTCAGTTTAAGTCTTTTATGTGTTCTATTCTTTTTGATTTAGTGATTTTTTAAAACATTTTGATATTTTAAACATTCAGCTGTACGCACACAAATGTATTCTAAAATATAGTGATATATTGCTTTGGTAAAAGGGTTCTTTGTAATTTCTTAACTTAAAACTGTTTCCCACTGTTATCTTAAATAAATAGTGATTACTTTTCTTTAAGTTTATGCACATTTGTATAAGAGAGAGAGATCAGCATAATAATGCTGTCATTTTCAAAAGACAGAATTAGAGTTTTTTAATATGATAAATTTTGAGTACAGACATTAATTAATTCATATTTGATTCAAAATATTTTATCAAGTTTCAGTTTTGAACAAAAGTATATATTAAGAATATTGCTGTGTAATAAGGCAATAAAAATCAAAGATGATTCCTGCTATTCACTTATTTAGATGCAATACATTATTTTGAGTCTTAAATTAAAATATCAGTAATAGTTTTTAAAAGTTTTACGAAATATATTTAACTAATTTTAATTTTGCTATGAATCCTTTCTATTTTCTTTGTTATTAACCCTCCTCAGATGTTAGCATTTTGAACATAACTTAGCATTAGTTCGGACATATAAAAAATTTGGGCATAGGGGCAAAATATATATAGCATATAATATATATATATATCCAGTATATGAATTTACCAGAAAGCTATGTACATTCATATTTCGCATTTAACAGGTGAAAGTGTTAGTTAAATAACTGAATCTTTCTTTTAAATGGTACAACAATTTCCCTCATTCTTTTTCATGGAATAAAATTTTGTTTAAATTTTACATGAGTAGAATATTTTTATCTTTTTAATTCTTATCATGATTTTTGATTCAAATAGGGCATCCAGATTATTTGAGGTAGGAGCATGGTCTTTTAAATATATGTATAGAAAAGTAATCTTGCATGCAAAGTCCTTAGAAAAGTATTCTCGGTACTTTTCCGTTTCGCCGGCGCAAATCTCGCCAAGCAGACTTTATTGGCGACAACATACATTATACACACAAAAAATATTAAAAAAATGTTAGTCCTCAGAATTCTTTTTTTGAAGGCATAAACATTTTAATTTCGCTTAAAATTATATAAAAAGCCAATAAATAAAGACAATAAATTTATAAAAAGACATTAATTTAAGAATTTACTATGCTTTCATGGTTCAACATCCTGTTTCGCCGCTGCATATCACGTGACCCCAAGCGATCTCATCTCACGTATACTACTCTACAAAAATATAATGCTCTCAGTAATTATCTACATTAATTTCAAGTTAAATCTTAATTTGGAACACAAGTTTAAATGCAAGAAATACTTCAATTCGTACGAATAGCTTACTCAGAAATTATGTAAAACTGCAGTGCTTTACTTTGCTAATGCATTCTCATTAGAATTGATGAATTTAGCCCTTGACTTTACCTTTTCTATATTTTCGGCTTCGGGTAAGCGCTGTGATTGCATCCTAATTGATTAAATTGCCGAAAATGGCCTTGACATAAAACTGAACTATTTGAATGAGGCGTAAAAGGTTACCAGCGAGAATATTCCGTTTGGCATCGGTTGTACCATTATTGGCGTCTTTATCGCTTGCGCCGGCGAAACGGAAAAGTACCGTATTCTCTTATATTTGTTGGAAATGCAGCTGCATTCAAAATCAACCTTGTAAATATACTTATTTCTTCATGTGAGATATCTTACCAGTTCCATTACACATGGACCTGGTTGTTAAGCCTTTTTTTTTTTTTTTTTAATTCTTTCATAAGAGTATGAGTTTAATATTATAAATTCATCCATAAAAGTTTCTTAAAATAATCTATAAGCTTCTGAACATTTCCAATAATTTAGCATCTTGTAATTTTAAACAAAGTAATTGTAGGTAATTTGTGTCATCAGTGTTGATTTGAATATAATCCTCATTAGAATCAATTTTTTTTTCACTTTTTATTTCACTTGATTATTGTATATATATATTATAAGGTATTTCTCCCACCTTCTTAGCCTGCCTTCGTGGTGTAATAGTCAGCACACTCGGTGCATATTTGAAAGGTCCGTGGTTCAAGTCCCTGCGAGGGCATTCCTCATTTTTCATCTCTCCTGCTTTCAAAAAATAACCTAATTGTCTCTACAATATATATATATATATGTATATATATATATATATTGCTATCATCTCTGAATATAATAATCAAGTTAATCACAAAAAAGGATTATTGGTAACACTGTAACTTTCTATACTGCTAAAATTTTCTTTACTCATTTTTTTTAAGAATGAAATATTATGATAGAACAGAATATCATCTATTGAAATTAATTGCAGTGAAGCTATTTTTGATAGCTCATGATAGGTATTCTTAGCAATAAAAGGTAGAAAAAAATATTTATAACAATGTCAAGGAAAAGCATGTATTTCATTACATTTACACGGTTACATATCTTTTTCTTCTAAAGTAAAGAGTAATCATCTGGGGTCTTCTCACAGTGCTTTTTAGCAGCTATGCCATGCTACATCATTGGCTTTCATTGTAAAATATGTCTTTACCTCTCTTCTTTCTTACTTTGAAGTTCATTTCTTTCTTCAGAGATGGAAGGTAACTCAGAACAGCTAATTAAATCCTTTCTTTGTTCTGTCTATAATAATGTAATAAAGCCATTTTGTAAAGAAATCTGAACTTAAATTCCCATTATCAGAAATTTTGTTTCAGAATATTATGAGTATCAGTGGTTGGTCATTGTCAAATATTTTCATGGAATATCACAAATTCATTTGTGATGCTCTGCAAAAAGCTTCTAATAATTTATTTAAATTAATGGTATTATTATTTTGATTGTTAATAAATTCCACATAAAATTCTTAATGTATTTCCTAAACTGAGATTATTTCACAGCTGGCTTTCACAGGACTTTTTTATTTTTTCGGGGGGGGGGGGGTAGTCACATCAGAGGTAACCATATGACCAATAAAATATTAAAAATTTAGATTAAGTGGTACAAATGTAGTTACATTAGTTCTTTTATTAGAGTACTTACTGATGTGCCTTCAAAATTTGCTGTGCAGCGATATCAGACTGTCTTTTGCTTATTTAAATGTACTGTTTAATTTTAATGATGATACTTGTTTTTTTTTTTTTTTATTTTATTTTTTTATTTTGTCATCCAATGGTAAAGTTTTATTGTATTCTTAATCAATTAAACATTTTCATTATATGTCTATGTACATTAATTATTTCTATATCCAAAATTTATATGAAAAAAAATTTTCTCATACATTTTGTTTATTTGTATTTATTTAGGTTGAAGAAACAAAATAAAACCATGTGATAGTTGGAATAAAAAAGCTTCAAAGTGTAAAATTATTGACTTCCCTAAGATCAGTGAGTATGTTTTATTTAATTTATTAAATATTTATGTGTATAGTTTTGAATTATTCTTAATGATTCTTCTCATTTATTAACTTGAAAAAACACAGATATTTCTTGATATTTCTCTTCCCTTTCAAGACCTTGAAAAGGTAGTCCTGTTTTCAGTTTGTGGTAAAATTCAGTCATTTGCAAATAAAAATCAAAAACAGAGGACCGTATCATTAATTGTTGATCAGGTTTCGTAGCGGTCCTTATAAGTGCTTATAAGTTCTTATATTTGAAAATAAAATATAAAGGCCCTTATAGGTCCTTACTTTTTCTTTAAAGCTCTTATTTTTTTGTTTTTAGTGCTTATTTTTTGCTTTTAGTGCTTTTTTTTAATGAACGCGCTATTTTTCCCGGCACCAAAGCCGAAACTAAATAAACAACTTTTCTTCTTAATATAGAATGTCAAATAGTGAATCATACTCCCGGAAATAGCTTTTCCCCCTTTCTCTGCATTAACATAACCTTTGGTGTGCACGAAGAGTACAGACAGGTGCTCGTCGTTCTATTGGTCAAAGAATTGCAAAAGCAGTAGAATTCTGTTACATTTGGCATTCTTTTCCTCCCACCCAAATATTACACACGCTTGAATTTCTATCAAGATCTTAATAATTTGCATTCTCGTTCCGCTTGGTCAGTTCATATTCGTGTTTATTATGATCGTTATGCTTATATTATGAGCATATGTATGAATGTTTATAATAACATAGTTGCAGTAACTGCTGAAGTATAGTAAACTTGCAAAAATGGTTGTGTTTTCACACAGATTAGCTTTCTAAGGAATAATATTCGGAATGGCTTAAATAAAAGGAAAGTAATCGAATAGTCAAAATAATTTCATTTTTTTGGCCAATACATTATAAAGTACTCCCCTTTCTCTGCAAAATCTCGAATATTGAAACCATTGCAGTTCGCTGCAAAACAAGTGATGGACTTTTTTTTGTCACTTTCCAATCTGGATTGAATAGGACTAAAAGTTCTGCGGTCTACCAACCCAAGCGAAAAATAATTCTATTCCGGAAATTTAACACCATCTGTTGAAAATTAGAATGAAAAACACCCCAGTTATTTACTTCTTTATTCTCCTAATACCGGCAGCTGTTGATTCCGATTGCGTAATATCACATAGGGTAGAATTACGGCGCACGTATTGTGCAATAACGTTTGCGATATTTTGCAGAGATAATTAATTTGTTCTGTCTGAGATGTGTTTATGAACACTTAAAAGAGTTTTACTGTGCTTGCTAAGCAGAATATTTTTCAGTTCTATTAGTTTATTTTTATATGATGCACATATCGAAATGTCAAAAGCATTTATTTAGTGGAAAAATGTAAAGAGCGGCTACAGTCTACCCCCCCCTGCTCCTCTTTTTCAAGTTACGCTCGACTGTCCGAATATTGGCCAATTTCAAGTATGTGGGTTAGTTAAGCTTTTACTGTTAAAGGATATGACTGCATGAAGCAAATTTCTGTCTTCTGATTTCAGAAATGTTCCTCTTTTTACTTAAATTACTTTGCTTGCAATATCTGTTAAGGGAAAACTGAATACAATGAAAATTTAGAAAATGTTCAGAATTTAGATTTAAATTATTTAAATATCAATATGAGTGGAAAAATAAATTGTATTTATTATTAGGTTCCAATCGAATACAGTAAATATGCCTTATTATTAATTTTTTTCTATATTTTGAACCGAAATTTCATCATTAAATCTTGTAATATAGGCTAGTTCTGCATAGTTTTTTTTTCTCTCATTGTAAACTAGTTCTGTAAATTGAACTGTTAATTAAAATTTTAAAAAAAAAAAGTAATTATTTCCCATGGTTGAGGTAATGCTTATTCTCTCTTAATAAATACTGCATTTCTCATATTTTAAATTACAAGTCTAATTTTTAAGGTTATGCAGTTGTGTATAATGTAATTATACAGGTGCTTATTTTTTTTCTTAAAATGTGCTTGAAAAGTGCTTATAGGTGCTTATTTTTTCAACTAAAATGTGGCTATGAACCCTGGTGATGCATGAGATATTTATTTTATACTGCATAATGTGATCACATTTATCCAAGACTGTTAAATGAATGATAACACTAAGTAATGAGAAAAATATTCTGCTAAATATCAAACAAATTTAACTAATTTAATATAACTGTAAGAGGCATATAAATACTTATTTTAACAGCATTTTACTTTGGGGGGAAAAAAAAGCCTAAATAGTTGATTATCTGCAAAGGATACGCAAAAGTTTATATTCATAATGCATGTGGAAATTATTTGGTCGATGCTGCATGCCTAATCTTAATATTCATTGGGCATTTCTCATCTTAATTATTTGTAGGAAATTTAGCGATTTCACCATTTTCTTCTTCTTCAGAAAGTTTATCAGATAATGTCCTTGGATTTGTTTCAAAACACCGCTGACAAATATTTTGTTTTCTCATTGATGCAGCAACTTGAGTTTTTCATCAGTATCCACGCAAGCAATAAACTCCTGGCAATTCAAGTTAGCTGGACAATTTGTTTTTAATTTTTCTTCAACTTCATGTATTTTATAATTTATTAAAACGTTGACATGCTTAAAAAAGTTCTTTCTTTGATTTTTTTCCCTCTGAAATGTGGTTCCAAGACATCTTCAGCAAGTTCCTTACTAATTTTTTTTTTTCCTCTCTGAAATGTGGTTCCAAGACATCTTCAGCAAATGCAAAGCATCAAGATGGCAAGTGTTCCTTGTTAATTCTTTTGCATCTATAGTATATATATTCACATCATCCATACTATATATCCACATCATCTACACTAAACAGCCATTACATTATGACCACCCTCCATCTATAACAGTGGCCATGCCCAGGAACAAAATCACCAGCTGCATCTGCAATGGTCCAAGAAAATTGGAATTGGACATTAGAGAAATGGAAGAAAGTTGCATGGTCCACTGCATCGTATTATTTTCTGGTCCAGCACATCGAAGGGTGTGTGCTAATACAGCAATTTCCAACAAAACTCTGGCTCCCTGATGCACAGTTGGATGAAGACAAGCCAGTGGCAAGGGTATTATGATGTGGGCAATGTTTTCTTGGAGCACATTAAAGAGCCATCCCCATAGAACAATCTCTGAAATCTGTGCACTACGTGAACATCATTGCAGACCAGGTTCACCCATTTATGACAACAGTATTTCCGGCGGGGGGATGGTGATTGCCAATGGGATAATGCACCTTGTTATTAGTGTCGAATTGTCAGGGAGTGGTTTGAGGAACATTCCAGTGAATTTCAATTCATGTCTTGGCATCCAAATTCGCCTAACATTAATCCAATAGAGCATTTGTCATCCCACCTGAAGAACCAAATTCATGCTGCCACACTACCCACTCGCAATGTGCAGGAACTGCAAGACCAGTTAGTGAGTGCTTGGTATCAGATACCTCAGACTACTTATCAGCACCTTGTGGAGTCAATGCCATGATGGGTGCTAGCAGTTTTGAGGGTTAAAGGTGATCTTACATATTATTGACAGGGTGGTTATAATGTAATGGCTCATCAGTGTATATTATCTAGAACACATGCTCATTTCAGGAAAATAATGTTCTTTCATCACTCTAATAATTCCTTAATTATATAGTTGGATTATGGCTGTGATATTTGCTGACAAATATACAACTTCAGTACTTTTTATAAGCACAATTTTCATTATGTGCCATGCAAATGTCAATAAAGCCCTGTCTATATGTCCAAAGAAGTATCTCTGCTAGTTTGTGTCATCTGCCCCAGTCCATTTATCCAGGGAAACATATCTCTGACATGTCAGATATATGTCTGTGATGCCTGCACTCAAATTGTGATCATTGCATATGATGGGATACATTGTCTCCAGAAACATATTTGGTGACAGCCATTGAAATAGCGCATAAAAATCATGCGTCCAGAATTGTGTGTTTCATTGCCTTACCTGTTTCATTGGCATTAAAAATAGACATGTTTCAGTATAAACATGTTTCATTGGCATTCTAAGTGTTTTCAGGACAGTGTGTCATAGAAGGCTTAGGCCATTTTTGACAACCTTATTCTTGCAACAATTAACATTTTTTTCTTCACCATTAGTGCATTTATAAACAATATTTTGACCTTTTTTCAGTCAACTAAATCAGCCATCTGATGCTACAAAAATCACCTTTTAAAGTTTTATGGCTAATTCTTCAGCTTTCTGCTACATCAAGCAACACTTAACTCCCAAATATTTTTCAAGAATATTTGTAAAACAAATCTTCAGTACTTTTTTTACATTGTGATCATTCCCACTATGCATCTCTTTCATGTTTTTAATTCAATTTTATTTTGATTTGCAAATTATATCTCCATGGTTCCTCAAAATCTTTGATCGGAGAGGTTGAGAAATATTTAACTTAAAAGCAGTATTTTGTTGACTCACTATTGGGAGTTGGTCATAATGGTTTAACAAATTGATTTTGGTCCTTATATTCAGATCATTGTGTCTTTTGTTCAACTCCTTGAAAGTGACTAATGCTACTACTTAATAGTGACTAAAAATAATGAATGTTTTCAAGGATATATCTTCTGTAAAATTATATTAAAGATTCTATAGAGTGTAAATATTTGATGGAGGTATTAAATAATAGAATCTACCGAAAACATTACATCCAGTTTATAGAAAATCTTTTTCTTTCTTTCTTTTCTTTTTTTCTTTTTCTTTTTTTTTTTTTTTTTTTTAATGGAATAAGGTAAAACTTTTTTAGAATTCCAGATTAGAATTTTAGAAATATTTGTCAACATTATAAAATAGACAAAATTTTCTTTGGGGATCAAAAAGAATAAATTAAAATTTTATTGTCAAATAGAATTCTGTATCCTTGTCTAAATTATAAAATAATCTGTAACATAAATAAGCTCTTATAATAAAACCTTTGGACATTTCTCAGAATAGATGACCTTTTTCTGTAATAAAGAATTTT